GGATTATGTTAAAAAAGTATTTAGCTTTATTTGGATTGATATATTTATCTGAAAGAATTTTTTCCTTAATGAAGCATACGAAAACTAAATGTCGATCACAAATTACGGATGAAAACTTACATTCGGTATTAAATATTGTTACAATTGAGACGAAATCTAAATTGGATAAAAATCGCCAATGAACATTTGCGATCTGATACCTCAGATTAAGTATATATTTATCACTGTTTTTACAACACGATGTTATCATGAAAGTGAGAAATGTATTCAAAGATATAAATTTATAAAAGTGTTTGGTTAATAATCAATGCAGTTCCTTGCTTCGTGTTCCTTGGTTAATAATCAATGCAGTTCCTTGCTTCGTGTTCCTTGAAATTTACGTGTACATTTTATGTACTACTGGTTGATCCGCATATAGAGCTGTCGTGACTCCCTGTTCACCATTTGGAATATATTTAAAACAAAAACAATGAAATTAAGGCCACTAATGCTATTTTAAATTCTAATTTCTACCGGGAAAAATGTTCAGCCACGGCCCGTGGTTAAACGTGTTTAATTACTCCTGATGAGCTCAATGGTAAATTCAAGAATGAATATATAATTATAAAATATTTAATCCATTATAAAGAATCATTTAGTTTTAAACTAACCAGCTTTGTTCAGTCACTTATCTTTTCTATTTCTTGCCAGAACGATATTTCAGTTTCGCGTGTTATGCAAAGTAGGGTAAAAAGGTACTATTTAATCTGGTGTCTGAGTTACTTCAGACAAAGCGTGTTTTGCCGTTCAGCCACGTTGTTTCGCTGATTTAAGCTTGCTATTTGACGGTCGTGTGTATTAATTACTTGTTTGTATATGTCGGTCGCAAGGCTAATAGATAACTCGCGTTAATTATCTCTGTACAGCTTCGGCTGATTATTTAACTCAGTTTTAATTTTATATTCCTATTTTGAGTTGCAGCCAAACGTACTGCTTAAAGCAAGCTTAAAAGTACTTTAAAAAAATTACTTATTATGCAATAAAAAGTAACTATTTATAAAATTATTAGAAACATATGAAAATAACTCGTAAAATTAATTCCAAATAATTAATATTTAAAATTTCTGCTTTAAATCTGTATATCACAATTATATCTGAAGTAACTGCCTAAAATATTTTTAAATACAGATATGTTTCTATGCTGTACACTTACATGATAGATGAAGGTGTCAAATAACGGCTAATTTTTGTTATTACGTCACATCAAGCTTTTTGTTTTGCAACATATAAATCTTGGAAAGCAATTTAATTACTCACAGACAAAACGTTCACCAACGTTCATAACACACGTTAAATTGAGAGAAGATCACTTACAATGAATCTCATTTGTGTTCATCCATTAGAAAATTATTTCTATGGCAAAATATTCTCCAAATATTATCCTAATGAGCATAACTTGTTGTAGTCTCTCTGGTTATTGAAAGAATATTTATTTGTGGCCATTTTTTTCTGGGGATTCTTGAAGGACAATATATGAAATAAACTAAGTGTCTGCTGCAAAGGACATCTCTAAACAAGCAGTGGCTGGTGTAATGAACTACCTAAATTGGTGCTTTCGAAAATCTTGTATAGTGCTGAAAATGGTGTTAGTTAAACTTGATTTAATTCGAGATATGAACTCCAATAAAAGCTCCTATCATTGTCTTACAAAGCAGTTTCATTCGTTTGGATGCAATAAATAAAATGGCATTCGCAATCCTAAGAAAATTATACTTATGCTTTGCTATACATAAAAAAAGTAGTTAAAAATACTACGATTTTTTCTTCAGCGATCCTGTAGGTAAGAAGGTAGGTGATCCATTTCTTATTGAAACTTTACTAAATAAACATGACTTCATTTAAGGGAGAAAAATAAAAATTATTTTCTAACTATAGAAATAAGCATAATTTTTATGTTACTAATTGTTGTTATTTTCATTTTGCTAGGGAGGAATAAAAATGTATTTATGAAAATAAAATGTAATGCAGAAGAAGTTATTTAATCTTTTTTGCTAGCACTATGAACAATTACTTTCTTTGTCTTCATAGCAATTCAGATCTAGATTGTTCCATGAGTTTCACCACATTTGCTTTGAATGAAATGAAATAAAAGATTTTCCTTTTTACAAATCAAACAGATCAAATGTTAGAACGTTTCGTTGACTTTTAACAAAGAAAATTTATAATAAGAAATTTCTTTGCCTTTTTATCATTCTGTTGCATCTTTTCTTCAATAAAAGTCTTTTGTCCTCTTTCTATTTAGTACTCCTGCTTTCAGCAGTAAAACATTGCTCCTTTTAGTTGACATGGGTATTCGGTCTGAGATGTCACTTACGTTGAAAGTACTAGTTGAAGAAGATTTTCTTTATTTCTCAGTCAATTTCCTTACGGACCTTAATATTCAAGCATTTAAATAGCTTTCCTTATTAATTAATAGTAAATGTTTAGTCGATTAATTTAAAAACCATTCTATTTATATTATTTTTCCGAAATCATCTAAACGATATATATTATTTTGCCCAAAGCATATTGCCCATAAGGACAATTTGGAAATATTTTTAGTTTCATTGCTTCTTTTATTGCACATATATAAAATTGTAGAGATATTTTCATTTGCTGATTGATCTTCACGATGGAAAAAGGAGGAAAATAGAATACATGGCAGCTGGCAACTCATTTGGTTTTGAATGTCTGTTTCTAAAATCGATGAATCAGTGCATAACTAATTGATAAGAAAGAATTGATAATGAATGAGCTAAACTATAAAGTTTAAATTTATAGGCATGCGCTAAGACGACGTCCCTGGTACAAAGACGCTGTCATAAAGGTAAATAGGAATCCTACGTGTCTATAGTTAGGTCGAACAAGTGAGAAAAAGTTAGAAAAATATTAAAGATGTCTAACTTCATCAAGGTGGAAAATGAATGATTTGTTTATCCTGCAGAGAATTAATATCAGCAAGAGCACAAAACAAGCTCTTATCGGGTGAAGATTTTTCTGCCTTTAATGATTCACTTTCGGAGAAAAAGAAAACAAAAATCGCATCATATTCAACTCTTCTAAGTTGTTTATTCGTATAGTACATCTTGCAATCTTTTAGATAGAAGGAAAGAACTTTGAGACCCCATAAAATGAGTTTTAATCTTCATGGTTTTGGCAGTCAGATGAGCCAGAATTTAATCTATGTGTTATTGATTGTCATATGCAGTCTGTAGAGCTTTTCATTTACAAGAAGCATATTTTGCCAAATGCATGGTGGAATGCAATCGTTATTTTTAAAGTGAAAATTAAGGAACCATCTGAGAAATCCTGTACGTTATCATTTCATTACAACAATAAGCTGCTTTTGCAAAATTCTTTTGATAAAGATAAATGTTCATCTACTGCGCCATCATCTAGTTCAGCAGTTAAATATGATGGAGTGTTAAATCTACAATATTTATGTGGCCAAGTTGACTAAACGTTTAGAAGAGACCTGATAATCACTTTGTGGGTTGCTGTTGATCTGGAAACTAATGTTAAGTATTACAGACCTTACTAGACAAGATAGTGAGTTATCGTCCCGTCTCAAATGTTCAAAAAGTACCGAAGAAGGTTTTAAAACAACCTTTTTATTTAGTAAGAGCTTTGAACATACAAAGCGCTCCTTGTGCTACAGACAAACCACCATGTAAATTAGGTAATAACAGTCTGTTAAATTCAAACACGGGTACGCAATCTAAGACTACACATGTAACAAAATAATCTATAAGTTGGCTCAATATTTTACAGGCATGTAAGTCTGAAACTTCAGCTAGCGAGAGACAGCAAAAGCCGGAATAATCACTTTTAAATGAGCTTGGCAAAAGTTCTAACAGCGCGTCGCAAGTGTCAGACGCTCTATCTCTCTCCAAGATTCAAAACCCTCACTTCAAAAATTCTTAAAGCTAATTTGCATTCTGGAAGGGAATATGGAAAGAAGTTAAAATAAAGATCAAAATCATAATAGCTGGTTAATTAACATAAGAACCTTACAACTCATAAATAACTCCATTTAAGACAAGGACAGAACTCACAAAATACCACATTGCTGAACAACCTCCATATTCATTTAGCTTCAAAGATTGTTATTCATTTATGTTATTTAAGTAAATGAAAATTTGAAAACATCTAAAAAATTTATTAGGTTTAGTTTTACGTATCTCAGGAACAAAAAATTCTATCCAGGTATTTGGAATAATTCCAATTCAGAAGAATTCAATTAAAATTTCATCGATTTCACTTAAAATTTCATTAAAGATTTAGACTTGCAACAATAACAAACTTTTTTCCCCCTAAGAAATTTCAAGCAGCATCAGGCATTTTTTTCTGAGAACGCTTTATTTCTTAGATTCTTTTTATTGCATTGATCACAATCCATACACAAGTCCATACACCATAAAAAGCAAACTGTTTATTAAATAAAACTGTGTTGTGCCAAAATCAATTCCAGGTTTATTATTTTAGGTGATACACGTAAAATTTTACTCCTGTAGACATTTAGGAAAAGAGAGAAAATTCTTATTTGTCGAATTAATATTAAAATAATTTAGTCAAGTGAATACATAAATGTTTCAGAATAAAATATTAGCGTTTCATTTGCATTTTAAAATCAAAGAAATCCACAAATTATAATCCTAATTTAATTTCAATTTCAATTTTTGTTATTTTAGTTGAATGATAATCAGTTTTCCTGTTTACAGTGCGAATACCTATTGAACTTTATTGTAATTAAGTAAGAATATTGCAATTAAGCTTTACGATAAATTATTTACATTTGATATCGTCTATATTATTAGCTGTATTTATCGGAAAAATGATACCATTTGGAAGTGTCATGTTTACAAAAATGTATTTTAAATCTTTTTCTATATTTTTAAAAAAAGCTTTAATAAATGTAATCTGGTCTTATTCCGAATATATTGAACCAGTGCATCTCATTGTAAATTCTTTTCATTTGCCAGGAAGTTCATTCGGTATGGTGCCGTACAACTGAAGGTGATTATCTATCTGGATGAGATAAGGCCACCTCGATTTGCTACCTTGACAATCCTGGAGCATTTTTTAGTCTCTCGCTTTGAATGGCTAGTACCTGATTTAGAAGAAAAAATTCAGCAGAGCCGAGAAGGACGTCTCCCTTTCCTTGATAGCGAAAAATTCTATTTGTCCAATAATGGATATCGGATGATGCTTCGGCTCTATCCTGAGAAAACACCAGGATTTGTTGGACTCTACGCAGTACTGACACGAGGAGTATACGATGATGAACTAAGGTGGCCGTTTAGCCATACTTATCGCCTGGAAGTAGTTGCACCTCATGGGACTATTTCTAGAACTACCCATCCCGGTACGCCGGGAAGCGGGTGTCCTGACATTGCATTTCAGAAACCAGACAGAGAATTGGCTGAATGGAGTTGCGGAGAAGGCCATATGGTGGCCCATGATACACTGCTTCGAGGACCACGCCCTTATGCCGAGGAAGGTGGCACTGTCAGAATAGCTGTTACTGTTTTCCTTCAAGAACTTACACCACCAGTAGCTTCTTTAGGATTTGAGAGAGGATCTTTATTTGCACGATATTCATGGGTAATCAAAGATGCAACTGCAGCATTTGGCTTACTGCAGACTCGGGAGAAGAGTCGATTAGAAAGCCCTGTTTTCTATAGTGAAAACCAAGGTTACGCCATGCGTCTTGCGTTGTCTCTCGCGCGGTTGCCCAATTACAGAAACTCTGTTGTGGCAGCTAAAGAAGATACTCCAGTTGTGGGATTGTACTGGACACTTCAGCCTGGTTTACATGATGATGCCCTGCGGTGGCCCTATCAAGCTCCTATTACATTAAGTGTGATCGACAGCCGTGGTGAAAGACATCTTGAAAAACTTATTGATCCTGCGCACAGTAAATGTCCTCCAGAAGCTTTCGAAAGGCCTCCAGGAACCCATTCTTGTGGTTTCGCCGCTTTGGTGACGGTGGATACTCTTTTGTCGTCCTATATCCACAATAACATTCTTCATATAAAAGCTTCAATTTTGCTTAATTGATCTCTAAACTTTTTATTGCATTTGACCGAATGTTTGCTCATTAAATGTACAAAACGTTTGGCGCAATTTATTTAATGTAAGTACAACACTGAATTTATGAAAAAAGGCTAGTAAGCGGATTACAAGAAATATAGTCATCATCTGGTCAGTATATACCTCTGAGGCTGGTAGTTTCTTTGAGAAGACATCTGCCAAGCATTGCTAAGTCAGTATGTGTTAATAATAAAAAGATAAAATACATGTATTGTCCAAACATGTGGCGTTATATTTTCTATATTTTATGGTTTTCTGTACTTGATATTGATTGCTGAGTTGATAAAACTTGAATAAATTGTGATTTCTGATCTGCAACTATGATGTGAAAAATAAAAGTATTTAATATATTTAGAAGTTTATAATTTTTTAAATTAAACATTTATTATTGAACTTTTAACATTATAAACCATCTAATATAACGAAACTGTGAAGTCATTCGTCAGATACTTAATCAAGACCTTAGGAGGCAAAAATTAGATACTGTATTTTATACCATCGGCACTAACCTCAAACCCAGAATCTGCAAAATCATCGTGCCAAGAAAATCGCATTTTAGATATGCGTTTGGTTTTGAGGACTATGACTTCTTCACAACATTTTACATGAAAATATACATTTTTCTTCTAGCATAGGAAACGCAACGAAAATCTAAATCTAGAAAATGCATACAAGCAAATTAGCAAACAATGCAGATTCATGCTTTTAATGTAGTTCTAACAAAATCTCGTTTTATTTTACCTCAACTATAAGATGTTGCTATACGAAAGTTCTAAAAATAGAGTTCATAATATTTTATAACTGCTAAATTGATATATGATAATACCAATTAATTAATTAAGAAAAGTTATAAATAATATTTTCTGTGATTCTCTTTAATTATTTCTGATGAAGATCACTTAAGTGGAAAGAACGCTTTGTATATGACGATAAATATTTCATTATACAAATGTATACAAGAGCAGGAATTTTCTTTTAACAGTTTTTTGAAGAAACAATCCTAAAATGTTCGTATCCTTCATCACACGTATTTAAATTTAAATTATATTTTCTCCACTCATGATAAACTAGGATTTTGCTCCTTGAAGAAAAGCTATCCATGATGTTACTTTTTTTTTTTAAATCAGAGGTAAACACCTTTTGGATATTCTTTTTTATTCTTGGAAAGGCAACTGGATTAATAGTATATAATACGCCCATTTTTGTTGCTATAAAAGACACAATATAATTGATGTTTAATGACCAATATTAATAATTTTACTAATGTTTAATGACCAATATTAATAATTTTATTCAAATACTGAAAATTTCTTTTATATATTATCAGGTTCAGTGTTTCTTCTAACCTTCTTCGGAAACATACAATGACCTGACTAGAACAGAGAGCTTACTAAAGCTATGTTCACTAATTGTAGTAAGTAGACAGGATACAGACGAAGGGTATACAAAACCCTTTATTTTTTCTTTATATACAATGACTTCCGTACTTCGGAATACAATGACCCTCCACTCGGGGTCTAACTTAAAAGATATCAAAATAAAACTAAACTCTAATTTAACTTTAGAATAAGATTGGCCTTATAATAACAGGAAGCGTATGTAGCACAGAGACTGTGAACACTACAATACGTTTAATTTATCAAGAGGATTAAAACCTCTGGCCTGGAAGGCAAAGTAGCAACTGCGTAACTTCTAAGGTAAGCGGCCTGCTTCGAACTCACGGCTTCCTCTCTTTCTGCTTGGCAAAAAGGCCACACTTAAATACTTGGCGTTCGCCAGACAACTTTGCATAAACTCCTTCACGCTTATAATTCTGGCCGGAAGTAGAAAATAAGAAGTGATAGTAAAGATTTAAAATAAAATAAACGTTAGTAAAACTTAAGATCCTTACATACTTCCCGCCAGAGTTAATTAGTTTGAAACTGAGGTCTAAAACGACCTTGTTGAAAACTTTTAGCTCTAGAAACTAACGCGAGGCCAACCTTTTACAATCATAACTTAGCTAGAAACTAGAAAATTTTAAAAGAAAGAAATTTGTTACAATAGCAGCTCCCGGAATATACAACAATCTTTTTTCTTTTTCATCTGTACTGCATCTAAACAGGAGCTTTATTCAATTCTGGTTCCTTCCAGAGATCTGGAAGGAAAACTAGTTTAATGAAATGTTACAGAATGACATTGCAAATAACATATAGAATATACTTTTCTTAACATTCTTATTTCATTCATGACTATTTTAATTATCTCTCCCCGTGCTCTCTGACATGTGTTGTAAAAGAACACCAACCACGAATGTGTTTCTGTCTACGTGTGCCACACTTCCTCCTACAATCAAAACACTAACGTGTTAAAATTCAACATACGAGACCTCTTAACACACCTAATTTCAACTCTAGACCCTGAGGTACTATTCTGAAAGTGGCTAACTCTAAAGTGTAGCGTCAGAGAGCCTAACTACATCATTCAACCTTTAACACATATTCACCATGATTTAATCTTTACAGTCACACGAATAACAAATTTTTAACATTACTTTCACTTTTACCATATCACGGTATTTCTTAACATTCAAAATAACAGTTCACATGTATACAAGAACATATCAACATGCCGTTAATTTTACACATTTGAAAACATACATTAGTAGTACATTGTTAACTTCTATTCTTTTCAAAGCAAGTGCCAATTCTTTCTACATTGAAATAATACTACATTTCAAAAAGTCTTTCAGACTAAAACTTCTTTCTTGTTAGAATGTTTTAAATAAAATTTATACAATAACTTTTTACAATATTTAAGTCTTTACACAACGCTATTATACATCAACTTTAGTTTTACGCGCGAGTAATTGAAAAACATAATAAGAAAATCGGTCACAACTCATTTCTCGCCCTTTTGGCGATAAAGGTAGACCTCGCATGAGGTAAAACTTCTTGAAATCTGCCACTTGCAGTAAGAATGAAAGATTAACTTAAGTTTGTAAAGTAACATAAAATTTTACTTATCTTTGTAATATTCAGACATCCTTTTCTGGGCCCAGTCTTTAAAGGCTGCAGACCGTAGCTTGGTTGATCCTCCTTCTTGTACGGGCTCGCCCTTCAGTGCTTTCCTCTGGAAGCTTCCGTTTTTCACCACTACGGCCACCCTTGAACATCTTCCTTTGTCCTCTGCTTGTGGTCTTGGCCGTTTGAAGGCAGCTGGTCTTGGTGGAACCGGGAAACTTCTGTCGTGATCCTGCTTGGACCTCGTTGTTGGCCGTTCAAATTTTTCTTGTACTTTTTCCTCCGCCGCTGATGGCCCTTCCGCAGTTCGGCGACTTTTGCTGCGGAGAGTTCTGTCGGATGAGTCAATCTTCCGTTTTCACAGCCGGGTTATAGTTGCCGTCCTTTCTCCTGGTCTTTTCCACATACGTCGTCCTTCTCCCTTCTTCATTCTGGGGGTGTTCGTGAACTCTGTTTTCTGGACGGTGGAACGGCTTCTTTTTCTTTTTACCTTCAATTTTTCCGCGGGGCAATTTTCTTTTCACTTGCTTCTGTCTCTCATTGGCTTGCCCTTGTACTTGTCGTTTTCCCACCTCTGGAACTTGTACCTGCGGTGTCTGCCGTGCCGGATCCTGCAAAAGATCTGAAAAGATTTGCATTTTATTACGATCGAAGTAGGGTTTTGATTTGATCCATATTTGCGGAACAGGTTTCACCATTTCTGGCCTTTTAACACTACAACAGCGTGAGTTATTTTTTCTATAACATATGGTCCTTCAAATCGTGGAAAAAATTTGGCAGTTTTATCTTCTGGTGCTGAAGAAAGTGAATGCTTAATTTTTAACACTTCATCCCCTACTTTATAAGTTACTCCCCGTCGTTTCATATCATAATAAATTTTTGTTTTCTTTGTGCTACTTCCGTATTCTTTTTTGCTTCTTTTTATTAGTTTTTCTATATCACCCATTTTAAATTCTGGGGCTCTTTGTTGAATATAAAATAATTTATCTAACGGCGTTATAATCTTTCTGCCTAAAATAACTCAGCAGGAGTTTTGCCCGTCGTATCATGTTTTGCGGTCCTAAGGGCGAAAGCCAATTCATTGACATAGTTATCCCAGCTTTTATGAAAATTTTTAACATAACTACGGATAATTTTCACTATATTTCTATTGACCCGTTCCGCTATATTTGATTGCGGCCGATACGGGACCATTTTTAAATGACGTATGCCCAGTTTTTGGCACATGTCTTCAAATATATTACTTACAAATTGAGGACCATTATCCGATATAACTTTTAGGGGCGCCCCGTATTTTAAAATATATTTATTTAAAATAGAATCAGTAACTAATTTCGCGGAGGCTCGTTTTAAGGGAACAATTTCGATCCACTTACTAAAATGATCAACCATAACAAGGAGATAGCGACTTTTATTTAACTGACTTTTTGGGAAAGGGCCCAATAAATCGATGCCAATTATTTCATTTGGAAATTCCGGATTTAATACTATTTAGAAACCCGGCCGGGCGGAAATTAATATAATTAACTGCTTGACATGTTGGGCAGGACTGGACATACGCCCTTGTTAACTTTTGCAGCTCAGGAAAATAAACTGCTTCGCGTACGCGTTGGATGGTTTTTCGAATACCAGCATGAGAAGCTAAAGGGCTGTCATGGAGCTCCTGCAGTATATTTAATCTAAGACTAGCTGGGATAACAGGTCGAAATTCGTTGTTGGAATTCGTAGTTTTTGTATAAAATAATAGACCATCTATTAGTTCGTAATGGGCCGCCCTATTTCTTATCGCCACAATATCTTGGTGGCTAAAATTTTCAGGATCCTTTAAATAATCATAAATATTTTAAATTCAGGATCCTTACCCAGTTCGGTTATCACAGTTTCTCGGGAATGTAACTTACATGCTGTGAGCATTGCCACCTTTACAGTATTACCCTCTTCATCTAATTTTTATTCTGATAGGGCATCTGCTACGATATTTTCCTTTCCGGGGCGTGTGCTTAATTACCAGATTATACTCTTGTAACTTTAGTGCCCATCTTATTAACCTTGGGGATAATTTTTTCCCTGAGTACAATCTAGTTTCCCGCCGCATGATCAGAATACACTGTTATTGGACCTTTCCAAAATAGACTCGGAACTTTTGCACTGCTAACAGAACTGCAAGTGCCTCTCTCTCAGTCGCGGAATAATTTTCTTTGTGTTTGATTTAAAGTTCTACTAAAAAATGCCACGGGCTGCTGATTTTGCGAAAGTACCGCTCCTAGCGCATAATCCGAAGCATCCACTGAAATTTCTAAATTCTCATCGTTTTCAGGAAATTTCAAAACAGGGGC